ATATATATATATATATATATATATATATATATATATATATATATATATATATATATATATATATATATATATATATATATATATATATATATATATATATTATATATATATATATATATATATATATATATATATATATATATATATATATATATATATATATATTCGATATTTTGATGATTTTTGCCACATTTTTCCACGGATTTGTCAAAAAATTCGAAATTTATAGTTCGTAGTGGTTTCTACCTCCGTTGGTGGAACTTTTGTGTAGCCCCCATATAACGGTACCTCCCGATATTCGTGTTTTGATAATCCTAGTCAATTTTACCCACGAAATTGTTTCCGATTTGGTATTTAGGGTGATGACAATTCTTGAGGTATAAAATTGTCTATGGAGGTTCCCGTTTTGGTAAGGTCCCCATATAACGGCTTCGCCCACTTTATGGTTGTTTTTGAAAAGTTTAAAAGCATTAAAGTGAGAATACATAAAACGTTTTTACATGTCATGTCAGACCCGACAAAGTATATATATCCTTGATCAGCGTAAAATTCTAAGAAGATGTAGGCATGTCTGTCTGTCTGTTTGTCTATTGTAATCACGCTATCTTTCGAACGAATTGAGATAGAAGGCTAAAATTTTGCACACATGTATATTTTGCCAGTATGCAGATTGAGTTCGTAAATGAGCCATGTGGGTCCACGTTATCATATAGCCCCCATATAACGGTACCTCTCGATATTCGGTATTTTGATGCTTTTAGCGATATTATTTACCGGAATTGTTTTAAAATACATATTTGAAGTTCGTAATTGCTACTAAAGCCTATGACAGAAAATGGGTCATGTAGGTCCGCACTTTCGTATAATCCCCATATAACGGTACCTCCCTATATTCGCTATTTTAATGATTTTAGCTACATTATAAACAGTTTTTTCAAGTTTCGCATTTGAATATAGTATTAGCTTATGACAAAAGTTGCCTATGCAGATCCACATCGTCGTATAGACCCTAATATATGTTTTTAGGATATTAACAGAATATTTAACGGCTTTTGTTTTTTTTTTTTTTTGAAAATTGCCAAATTCGTACAAAATGGTGGAGGGTATTCAAAGTTTGGCCGGACCAAACTTACAGTTTGTTTTTTTTACTTTTTTCACTCTTCCTTTGTTCGCCTAATATTTTGGGTGCCTTGCCCAAGTGAATTAACGGTTAATTATATTTAATCTCAATCTGGCAACGTTTTATATACATTTCAGTACGACACTAGCACTACGTATATGTAATAAAATTTAATATGAGCAGCCAAAAAGCCAGCCGGGCTAGCAATGCCACAAATAAAAACGAATAATAAATTATAATTTTTTTTCTTCATTTTCAATTCAGCTATCGCAGTTTCCTTTTTGAACGCTAAAAGATTTTAAGATAAAAAGAAATAAAAGTTTTCGAAAAAGCATTTTTCATCTATAAAAAGTGATAAAAAGGAACGAAACAAATTTGGAACGAACGAAGATGCATTCGAAATCTATACATACATACATACGTACATATGAAGGAGGTTGGGCATTACTTCATGCCAATTAAATGACTTTAAGTTTTTCCTTTTTTTTTTTCTTTTAAAAGATTTAGAAGAAATTGTTTTTGTAGTTATTATTTTTATTTATTTTAATATTTAAGACAATGTTAAAAAAGGACCGGCTAAATAATTTTTTGAAGTTATATAATGAATGTCGCTTTCTTCACAAAATTCATTCCTGCAACCAAACTAGACCAACATCTACAATTACAAATTATGGTTAGCCAAATCGCTAAGTTTAGGAAAATACGAAGGCGCAGTGGTGTAGGTGGTGCAATATCCCAAATAAAATTTAGTAAAATACTTCTTGTTTTGTACCCTCCACCATACTAAGGGTATATTACTCCACCAAGGGTATATTAACTTTGTCATTCCGTTTGTAACTCCTCGAAATACTCATGTAAGACCCTACAAAGTATATATATTCTTGATCAGCGAAAAAGAAAATGTTCTGTGCAGGTCCATGTCTTCGTATAACCCCCATATAACTGTACCTCGCGACATTCGGTATTTTGATGATTTTAGCGACACTATTCACCGGAATTGTTTCAAATTTGATATTTGAGGTCCCTAAGGGATACTACGGCCTAAGATAGAAAGTTTTCTATGCAGATCCAGGTCTTTGTATATGCCCCATATATCAGTAGTAGTATTTAATATCATATATCAGTAGTTCAATGGAATCTTTCTCTTTCATGGTTCTTTTTCTCTCCATTGTTTTTTTTTTGCATTGTGTTGCAACATATAGACATGATACATTGAAACGCAGGTACTTACAAAATTAGCATTGCTTTTTATTATATCCTCGACTATGAAAAGGAGCATAAAAATCTAATTCGATTTAACGATGTCCGACTGTCTGTTGTCCGTCTGTCGGATGAAATCACGATACAGCTCACATTATTTGACGTAGAGCATCAACATTTGGCAGAATAATTTGTATTCTGTCTAGGATGGTTGGTATTGAAAACAAGATAAATTGTTTTGGTATAGCCGCCATATAACGGTACCTCCCGATATTCGGTATTTTAATGATTTTTGCCACATTTTTCCATAGATTTGTCTAGAAATTGGTATTTTTTTATGTCATAAAGGGTTCAAGCTCGTGCGGCGAAACATTTTATATATAGGTCCACCTATTGTATAGCCCCTATATAACGGTACTCCCCCGATATTCGGTATTTTGGCGATTTTTGCGATATTTTTTTCATGGATTTGTATAAAAATTGGTAATTGTAGGTCATAATGGGTTTTGGCTTCTATGGCGGAACATAGTCCACGTTTTGCTATAGCCCCCAAAAAACTGTACATCCCGATATTCGGTACTTTGATGATTTTTGCCACATTTTCCTAGGGATTTGGCTAAAAATTGGTATTTATAGGTTATAATGGGCTCCAGCTCCAGTGGAGGAAACTTAGTATATATAGGTCTACGTTTTGGTATAGCTCCCATATAATTGTACATCCCGGTATTCGGTAATTAGATGATTTTTGTCACATTTTTCCACGAATTTTTCTAAAAATTGTTATTTGTAGTTGGTAATGGGTTCTAGCACCGGTGGCGGAGCACAGCCCCCGCATAACGATACCTCCCGAAATTCGATATTTTAATGATTTTCGCCACATTTTCCATGGATTTGTCTAGAAATTGGCTTTTATGGCGGAACTTAGTATATATAGATCTATGTTTTCGTATAGCCCCCATATAACGGTACCTCCCGATATTCGCTATTTAAATGATTTTTGCCACAGTTTTCAATGGATTTGTCTAAAAATTTATGTTTGGAGTTCGTATTGGGTTTTAGCGCCGGTGGAGCACAGTCCCATATAACGGTACCTCCCTAAATTCGATATTTTGATGATTTTCGTCACATTTTTCCACGGATTTGTCCAAAAATTGGTATTTTGTAGGTCATAGTCGGTTCTATCTTCGGTGGCGAAACATTGAATGTATAGGTTCACGGTTTTGTATAGCCCCATATAACGATACCCATCGATATTCGGAATTTTGATGATTTTTGCCACATTTTCCCACGAATTTGTCTAAAAATTGTTCGTAATAGGTTCTATAGTCGACCTATACATACAATGTATATAGGTCTGCCGATATTCACGATTTTGATAGTTTTCACCACATTTTTCACCGATTCGTCTAAAAATAGGTATTTGGAGGTCATAATGGGTTCTCGTTTTGGTGGCGAAACTTTGTACGTTTAGGTCCGAGTTTTTGTAAAGCCCCCATGTAACGGTAACTTCCGATATTCGGAATTTTGATGATTTTTGCCACATTTTTCCACGGATTTGTATAAAAATTGGTATTTGTAGATCATAAAGGGCTCTAGCTCCGGCGGTAGATTTTTACATTACCGATACAAATGTTTTCTTTACCCGAAGGTAGAGGGTATTAAAAGTTCGGCGCGGTGTTAATACCCTCAGCCATGGCATTTAATGTTGTTTTTTTTTGTTTTATTTCAAACTTGCACATGACGCTCTACATATGTATGAATGTATCCCCCATTATTAATTTGACCTTTAAAAAAAAAATAAAAAATATATATATATTGACGCTGGCATTGATTTAAATTAAATTAAAACAGCAACAACAAAGAAATATGGCACTAAATTAAAAGTAATATATTTTTCCTTTTTTTACTTATATTTCCAGAAATTATAAACAAAATCAACGGCAACGGATATAAAATGCAGCAACAACAAAATTGAAGCCAGGCAAAAACAAAGAAAGAAAAGCAAATTTAATAAAGCCAAACAAACAACAACAACTAACTAGCAAAAAAAATACAAAAAGAAAAAGTGCAATTTTCTTCTTTACACTTTTTGTATTACAACAAGAAATATGAGAATAAATTATTACACAGGTGTGGAACGCGTATAAAGAGATGGAAAAAACAAAACAAGAAACTATATAAAAAATGCTAAAAGATAAGGAACTAAACACACAAAAACAAAACAAGAAGCTAAAAATCAAGTATTTTTCCAATGCATTATTTATTGTAAGAATAAATCCAAAATCGACAAGAAAATAAATAAGAATTAACAACAACAATTTATGTGCCATAATTGACAAAAAACTAAAATTAAACATTTAAGTATAACAAAATAAATAAAAATTACATATTATATATCTACATATTCCTAAAGAAAAAACAAAACATAAAAGCTTTAAAAAATTATTTATAAATAATATACCTACCAACATATATTTATTTTAATATTAAAGAAAATTAAATATAAAAACATAAAGGACAACCTTTAACTAACAACAAAAAACTTAACTACTTAACTGAGACAAAGGTGTCGAAATTATAACACCAGTTACGAGAACAAGTATCAAACCCCCTCTTTAAAATAACTAGAGAAAGAAAAGAGAACCCATCACAGCTTCTCTCACTTACAGCAAAACAGACAAAAAAAGAAAAACCAAAACCAACAAATTTGACAAAGTGTAAACATTGTATTCATAACAGTATTATTAACACATAACCCCCCAAACATCACTTTGCCAACGCCATCATCTGAACTCTCAGCATTAATGCCGCCGATGCCACCAACAATACCACCACCATCAACATTGAGCCATTTATTCTGTGTGTTTGTTGCTTCATACTCATCACCGCAAATCACTCTGACAACTGTAAACATCAACAAAAACAACAACTGCTACTCACCTAACAGCTGTTGAGCTGTTGTTTATCAACGACAAAAAGAGCGTCCCCCCAACCAAGAAGACTTGGACTTGGCAAAAAAAGCGAGAGTGTTTTTAACACCATCACCAACAATTGTTATTGCTGTTGACATCATCATCGCCATCATCCTCGTTCGTCATTCTTGCAGTGGAGATAATACAACAACAAGGGCTACTGACGACGACTACACCCAGTGAAACGACATTTCTTTACAACCTCGAATAGCAACACATTACATTGTTACAACGCCAGCCGAGAGAAAAGTCATAGACCCCCCACATGAACACAGAGAGTAAAGTGAGAAGAGAAAACAAAAAGAAAAAAACCATCCCCACACACACACACCATAGATTTGTGCGTGTGCATGTTTGAACCGTCTGGCTTGATTCGTTTAACACATAACAGCGTCGGTACTGTGTGTCGTGACTCCTTCGGCGGCAGCAACAACTACAACAACCACGACTACCCTTTAACACATGAAACAAACACACACAATCGAGTTGTGTACGGTTTTCGTGGTCTTTCCATTCGTTCGTTAGGTGTTCGTGTGCGTTAGGTCTTTTCCTGTTGTGTGACGTAGTCAGTCAATCCCCATTGTTTTGTCCCAAAGAGAGGAAGGGCCAAATCGTACTGTGTTCTTTTTTTTTTTTTTTTGATTTGGACTGTGGAGTGTGTTTTGTTAAGTTAGTTGTGATTTGAAATTCTTTAACATGTGGATTTGTGTGTGATTGTCTGTCCTTCCGGATCAGCATTGAAGACGGAACCTGAAAAAAAAAAAACATTTATATGCCTCCATCCCATACTGTGTATATGTCTATGTGTGTAATCTGTGTGAACATTTACCAAACGAGACATCAACACTCAGCTTGAAAGCAAAATAAGAAGAAAATCTGCCAACAAAAAAGCAGCATTTAAGAACTCACTAACCCACATACAAAAAAGAAACACAAAACAAGCTAAACAGAGAACAACAGAGAAACTGACTGCCACACTCAACCAAGCAGACTGGCAAACCAACAACAAACAGTAGCTACCACACTAGAGGAGGATATCATCAGGCACTTGCTTGCTTGTCAGTTTGGCTGTGTGTGAAATTGTGCAAAGAAGGAAGTTGAAATAAACAGAGGAGAGAAACAACAACACGACAATATCAAAACAAAGCTACACGCGGTTACAACATCATTGGTGTTTCCCAAACGTTTGTGGGCCAAAAGAGTAAAAAAAACTCGAACACACAAGTCAGACGGGCAGACAGACAGACTAAGGCAAAGCGACCTTGGTAAACACAAACAAGAGCCGCCGCCGTCACTACCATCGCATCACCACCACCAACCACCACCTGTAAGCCAACAGCTTGTGTGGGTCATCAAATAGCAACAACAAGAAGAAAAAGCTTGCGGATTTCGTTTTTTCTGTCTTTTTGTTTGTATTCGTATCTTTATCCCTCAAAATGTCCTGCATCTCTAGTAATTTCAGCTCATTCTTCCTGAATTCCCTCAATGATCCATCGGAATTTTCAAAATACCTAAGCAATGGCGAGTTGAGATTTTCCTCATTTGAGGATTTTCAAGTTTACAACAATAGTTCGCCACAACAATACCAGCAACAACAACAGCCCCAGCCACATTATCACATGAATGGCACAGATGTGGCTACCGATGATAATAATTCGAATTTGGAAAATACTCAGCCGCAACCTGGACAACATTATGCCGGAGGCAGCTATCAGCAACAACAGCAGCATCCGCAACAGGCCCATGCCAGTATGCATGCTCCCCATGGCGTGGGTAATTCATCTACACATCCCTTAATGCATCTACAACAACATCAACAAAGATGGACTCCCCATGCCCCAGCAAATGGGCCACATCATGGCGGGGCAGCTACTACCGGCTCGACTGGACATCAGCAACAGCAACAACACTTTGATGGTTCCTTTGAATTTATGAAGTATTTACGTCACTCCAACGAATACAATGAAACCAATGCCCATGACCCAAATCAGCGCTTGTCCTCCCATCATCATCATCAGCCACATAATGGCAATGCTTCCAGTGGTGCCGTTGGCGGTCCTGGACCAACAGCCATTGGCACCAAACCTGAACCATCCCTAAATGCCAACAATTCCAGTCTCATCGATTTGGATACGACACCCCATAAAGTTTCACGTTCCTCGCGCAAAACTCCCGCCAACAGCAGTAACTCGAACAGCAGCAATAGCAATTCGACAAGTAATCATCATCCACCCACACCCATGGCAGTCGATGTCTACGATCATGATTCCAAACATATGCTGTACGATATGCATCACATGAATTCGGCCCACAGTTCCAATTCCAATGAATCTTCCATGGAGTTATCCTCGCTGACGTATCCCAATTCCCATTTGAATGCTTCCAATTCGAATACTTCCTCCGAGGGTGGGGGCAACACTCAAGGTCACAGTGACTTTTCTATGCTGGGTGTTGGTGGTGCCGGCGCAGGCTCCTCCACAACATCATCATCATCGGGCAATCCCGATGCCGCAGCCGCCTCACCTGCGGCGCCCAAACCCTTGGCCACATTCACCATTGTTGAGAATTTCGAAGCGCATCCCTCGCACAAAGTGGAGGAGGGCATATTCCAGCACATGAACAAATTGCCAACCAAGAAGAAAGAGAATCTCAAACAGTTGGGTGTACGTTTTACCGGTCAAATGACACTCAACGATAAATCGATAATTGTGGAGAACTTTATTAAATTCTGTCAGGTAAGTGTGTGTGTGGTTATTTTTTCCATTATCATTATTATTATTAAATTCTTGTCCATGTACGTATTACCCATGACATTTTACGTTGTGGTACTGCAAACGGTTGTTCTGGTAGGATTGGAATTGCACACCAATATGCTATTTTTAGTCCTATCTCAGGGTGGCCCAAGAAAAAGTTCAGCAACTAGTCAATTTTCTCGAAAAGGCTTTGTACACCTAGTATTTTCTCGCTCAACTAGTCAAAACTAAGATTTAATTTCGTTAAATTTAAGTTTCGTTTAAGTTTAAATTTATATATTTCTGTTTTATGACCTTTTTGAAATCTCCATCAAAATGTTAGGTAATTCAAAGGCCATTTGATATTAGTTAAAATCATTTGTCCACTAGGTATCCGTGTCTAATATGAGAACAGAAGCCGCGAAATCTTGTACAGAAAAAATACACATACATAGGCCACATTAATTTTATCGCTAACTAAAGGCTACATATCGTGTTCGAGTCATATGTAAAGCGTAATTTTCACATTTATACTTTGCTCTCTTTATAGCATAGTTTTAGGCGCTAAACTATATTCTATACAAAACCAGATTCATTCCAACAGTTCGTGTTAGACCTTTTTAGTACTCAAAATGCATAATTTGTCTAGTTTGACACAAATACAAAACTTCATACATCGTACTAAGATTTCAAATTTTCGAGGTTTTGCTTTTTTGGAAAGAATAATAAAAGGTGAAACAAAAAAGTTTTCAAAATAGTAAAACCATTGCAAAATGGATCCAAATCTAATTTTTATGTCCAAAATTATTTCAACGTCTCCAAATGTAAACCCTTGAAATCAACAGTGACCTCAATATCAAATTTCAGAATTGTATGTAGTACACATTTCCAAAACCACTTCCTTCTCGCAACTCCACACACCAACAGTAACATCCATATCAAATTTCAGGATTTCAGCTCTATCCCTTCACCATTGGGTGAAATTGTGAAATTTTGTAGCATTTAGTTCTTTTCGTACAGTTAAAGTACGCATTTTCAAAACAATCTCCATATCTCAATCACTGATACCAACAAAGACCTCAATAACAAATATCGGAATTCCAGATCTTTCCATTCACCCAGTACCAAATTTAGTACTATTCATACAATTATAGTACACATTTCCAATATCCCACAGACCACCAACAGTGACATCTACATTAAATTTCATAATTTTAGCTCTATTAAGATCCAATACCAAATGTAGTACTATTTTGTACTTTTCGTACTATTGTAGTACACATTTGCAATACTTCACCGAATACCAAATTTAGTATTATTTCATCCATATTTAAATTCCTGATACCAACCGAGAACTCAATATCAAATTTCGGGATTTAAGATTTATTCCTTCACCCAATACTAAATATAGTACCATTTAGTACATTTCGTAGAAATATAAAACGCATTTCCAAGCGCATCTTCAAATCTTAGAGACCAACAGTTATCTGAAATTCGAATTTCAGAATTTTATCTCTATCCCAAAATAACCCAATATGAAATTTAGTACCATTTAGCACTATTCGTACAATTATAGTACACATTTCCGAAACCACCAAGTATGGTACTATCTAGTACTTTTCGTGCACTTGTAGTATCCATTTCTAAAACTACCCAGATACCAACTGAGACCTCAATATAAAATTTCGGGATTCCAGCTCTATTCCTTCACCGAATACCAAATTTAGTATATTTCATACAATTGTCGTACACATTTACAAACCATCTTCATATCTTAACTGCAGATACCAACAGATACCTAAATATCAAATTTGTGGATTCCAGCCCTATCGCTTCACCTACTACCAAATTTAGTTCCATTTAGTACTTTTCGTACAAATATAGGATGGATTTCCAAATGCACCTCCAAATCTCAACTTTATATACCAGCAGTTATCTAAATATCAAATTCGGGAATTTTATCTTTATCCCTTCACCCAATATCAAATTTAGTACCACTTAGTACTTTTCGTACAATAATAGTACACATTTCCGAAACCAGCTCCATAGGACCAGGCTACACACGATCAGCAACCCCAATACCATAATGCAGATTAAAAGCACTATTTGTTTACCCAACACCAAATTGTACCAAATATAGTAATATTTAGTACTTTTCGTGGTACTATCAGTACCCATTTTTAAAATCACTTTCAATGACAAACCTACCATCAACAGGAACCACAATACAAAATTAAAAATGTCAGCTTCATCCGTTTGCCCTAAACCAAAGTATTGCAAATTTAGTACAATTCGTACACTTAGTACAAATTTCCAAAACCACCTTAATATATCAAACTTGTTTTCCAACCATGATTCAAAACCAAATATCATGTTTTTGGCTCTATCCGTTCATATAATCTTAAATGGTACCATTTTAGAAGTTTATTACCTTTTTAGAACTTTAAAGTGGGAATTTTCCAAAAACTCTTACTGCACTCCATCAATGACTCTCATTCCAAAATGCATCCAAATTCTAGTTCATTCCGTTTGTCTAATACAAAGTGTGCTATTTTTCGTATATGTTAGTACTCTTCGTACCCTTTTAGTACGTATTTACAGAAAAGGCAGTCTTATCACATGCCTACGCACCTGATCCTCTCAATATTATATCTATGCCCGTCTTTCTCTTCTTATGTTGTAATTACGCTAGAGTCCAAACGACTTGCGATAGGAAGATTAGATTCAAAACAGAGATCAGAGATTTTGTTCTGCAGGCATGTCATGTTTGAGAACCAATGTCGTCTATATCGGTTCACGATATCGGGTAGCCCCCATATAACGGTTTATTCAATATTTTGTCAGAATTGTTTACCAATTGATATATGAAGTTCAGCTAGACGCTGAAATATTGCCTTTAAGATATTTGAGTTTATTTTGAGAAGAGAGGATTAAACTCTTTTATAGAGGGAGGAGGCCCTCTCCCCTAAATATTCAAAAATTGCTCAGGACAAATATTTACAAATTATATACCCTCCACCATTCGGAACGAATTTGGCAATTAAAAAAAAAATTAAATCTGTTAAAAAAAACTCTGTTAAAATCTTAAAAATACCGGATGTAGCCGTATGTATACGACGACGTGGACCTGCGAAGGCAACTTTTGTCATAAGCCATTACAATGCGAAACTTGAAAAAAAAAAAAAAACATTCGGTAACTAATGTCGCTAAAATCATCAAAATACCGAATATCAAGAGGTACCGTTATATGAGGGCTATACGAAGACGTGGACATGCACAGACAATTTTCTGTCTTAGGCTGAAGTATCCATGACCAACTATAAATACCAAATTTGAAATAATTTCGGTTAATAATGTCGCTAAGATCATCAAAATACTGAATATCGGGAGGTACCATTATATGGGGGCTATACCAAAACGTGGACCTGCACAGACAATTTTCTATCTTAGGCTGAAGTATCCATGACGAACTTCAAATACCAAATTTGAAACAATTCCGGTGAATAATGTCGCTAAAATCATCAAAATACCGAATATCAAGAGGTACCGTTATATGAGGGCTATACGAAGACGTAGACCTGCACAGACAATTTTCTGTCTTAGGCTGTACTATCCATTACGAACTTCAAATACAAAATTTGAAACAATTCCGGTGAATATTGTCGCTAAAATCATAAAAATACTGAATATCGGGAGATACCGTTATATGGGGCTATACCAAAACGTGGACCTACATGTCCCATTTTTAATAGCAAAAGTCCTGCAGACATAATATACATTTGAGTAAAATTTTATAAACCTACTTTATTTTTTTCGGAAACTAGATTTCCACAGACGGACGGACATCGCTAAATCGACATAGAATTTTATGCTGATCAAGAGGATGTCCATTAAGATAGATTCGAATCTATCTAGCAAATACTCAAACCACTCAGCAATTAACAGAGTACTGTTAAAATTAACAGAGTGCTGTTAAAGTTAACAGAGTTAAAAAAAATGTTTTTAGCCAAAAATATAATTTTAATTGAAAACAAATATATTTAAGTAAAAATTATAAAACTTTATTAACTTTGTTATTATTTTCACCAAAAAAATGCAACATTAAGTTATACGATAAAGGCCGAGAGAGTTATTTCTGTTGGCTAGGTTATATGCTCATTGATCCTATAAGGATAATTCTGCCGGGACAACATGGATACCGCTGAAAAGCTTATCGAGAGTACTCTCCATAGAAATAATAAAAAGATTCAAAAATATTCCCCGATGCCGCCGAATCCACCCATTTTTGAAATTATCCTGGGGTAAGGATAATTATTCCGGCCATTACTCGTACAAGGATAAATTCTGCCGGGACAACATGGGTATCGTTGGAAAGCTTATCGAGAGTACTCTCCATAGAAATAATAAAAAGTTTCAAAAATATTGCCCGATGCCGCCGAATCCACCCATTTCTGAAATTATCCTGGGGTAAGGATAATTATTACGGCCATTACTCTTACAAGGATAAATTCTGCCGGGACAACATGGGTATCGTTGGAAAGCTTATCGAGAGTACTCTCCATAGAAATAATAAAAAGATTCAAAAATATTACCCGATGCCGCCAAATCCACCCATTTCTGAATCTTTTTATTATTTCTATGGAGAGCACTGTCGATAAGCTTTCCAACGATACCCATGTTGTCCCGGCAGAATTTATCCTTGTAGGAGTAATGGCCGGAATAATTATCCTTACCCCAGGATAATTTCAGAAATGGGTGGATTCGTCGGCATCGGGCAATATTTTTGAATCTTTTTATTATTTCTATGGAGAGCACTGTCGATAAGCTTTCCGGGCCGTAATGGCCGGAATAATTATCCTTACCCCAGGATAATTTCAGAAATGGGTGCATTCGGAGGCATCGGGCAACATTTTTGAATCTTTTTATTATTTCTATGGAGAGTACTCTCGATAAGCTTTCCAACGATAACCATGTTGTCCCGGCAGAATTTATCCTTGTAGGAG